AGCAAGCTTGGAAGTGTGTTTGTGAATGGAGGAAGGGTGATGTGAGTTGATACATGTATAAATGATTGGATTTTTTTAGTCATTAAGTTAGGATAGGTTCTTAACCTCTTTTAGTGTAGAATTGCTATAAAGTACCACCAAGTCTCTACATTACTGTACCGTCACTTCCTCGGGAAGCTAAAGTTGAATGGCAGGTTTTGTTACATGATGGAAGAATAAACCACAAAAATTATAATGATGATTTGGAAGAAGGTTCAGGAATTTTAAAACATGAACCTATCACATGGGAAGGTTTTTATTATTACCATTTAAATCCTTTAGTTTATGATCTATTCGCTCAAGTTATGACACGTGCTAAATTTGATTAATATTCGTCTACTATAATAAAGATACTTTAGACACGAAAGATTTCTGCATTATAAAAATAACTACATCGTTCATAAAGCCAATACTAATTAGTATTATAACAATCAGAGTTGAAAAAAGTAAGTGTATTTTGTTTCATTTTTTTTTATCTTATTTTTACTAATATTTTCTTTTTATTTTTTTTTTATCAATAGGCACCACTATAACGACTTTATTAGCCTCAATAGAACTTGGATTACTCAAATTACATGATCAATTTTACAAATACAATCGTCCGGAGGATACAAATGATCCAACCAGTACAATATTTTGGATTAGTATGTCTTCTATCAGATTTTTTTACTCAGAAAAAACTGGAGTTGAGACTGCAACTTTGAAAAAAGGTAATTTTCATATAATGCATAAATTAAATTAAGCTCTTTTCTCATTGTTTTATTCATCATTTGGTATAGGTATAAAATCAATGATAGGTTCTAAATTTCCTTCAGATATGAAACCTGCCATTACATTTATTCCAGTTATAACTATTAGTGGAGGTTGTGTGGTAGGTATTTGCGTTCAATGTGGTTTCTAGGCAGGTATGTAAAGCTTTTGTTAATAATAAAGGACTAATAGGTTTAGAGACTTCCTATAAAGATTTTTAGTTGGTAATAACAATTTTTAATAAGTTTAGAGGCTTTATAAAGATAGTTAGTGGTAATAAAAATTTTTAACTAATGAGTCTAGAGACTCTATAAAGATTTTTAGTTGGTAATAAGAATTTAACTAAAGTTTAACTTTTTTTGTACACACGAAAATTTTAAGAATTTTATTTCATCTTTTACAATAAACATTAAAATTATAGCTTTAGATTTAATATGGTAGTAGGTTTTTATTGGACTTTATAAAAGAAAAGCTTTTATAAACCAGATCAAAATTATGATTCTAATTACAACTTTAAAAAGTCCATATTGGAAAAAGAATAAATGGCATGCAGAATGCTATCCTTACTAATACTGTTCATGAAATTCAGCACGAAAAAAGATTACTACGGGATTTTGTGCGGAATTATCATAAGACTTTGAAAATTGCGTCAGGTTTACCTCTTCTTCAACGCATCCAATTAATATTTTGCTTTGCATTCAATGGCTTAACAGTGTATATAACCCAAGTATGCCCAAATATTTGCATAAGAGTACAGTGCATGGTCACAAATGTACATCTTGTAAATAACTTTGGAAATTTGCCTGTGGAGATTAGTGCAAACTCGCGCAAATTTCTATACGACCCTTTCAAAATATATAAATATTTTATGAATGTCTATTAAATATTGAATTTAATTTCAGTTTTGTGCAACACATCAATAAAATTTGTATGCGCAGTATTCCGTAAGTTTACTCTTTAATCAAAGCTTTTATCAATTGCAGAGTATATACAAATTTGCAATAATTGTAATACTCCACAATTCTACTCAGATCTTTGATGAAAATATAGAGAAACTTAGGGTGCTATGCATATAAAATTCATTGATGCATAATTGCTAATTAAGAGAATTATATTGAACTAATTCTAATTTTTATTATTCTTGCAAGTATTTCGTTTTCTCAAGTATATTTTTTCAACATCTCAAAATGTTCATATTTACATGATTGTAATTATTCTCTTGTACCATCCATGTATTAATTTTTGCTCTGGTACAATAAATGCTTGTAACATATAATCGTGCAACATTTTTATAACAAAACCAATAAATAATCTTCTGTAAGAAAGTTCTAAAAATCTAAATGATGAGATAAACCAAGGATCGATGTCTATTATTAATTGAATTCCTTCTTGCGTTTAAGTATATATTCTCAACCTGTTTATATGAGGGAATCACCATCTGACAAATTAAAATCCTTTATACATGCCTTAAAATGCCTTAAAATGCTTTCGATGAAAGACTCTTAATATCATATGTATTCAATATCTTGATCCCGTGTTTTTCCAATTCTTTAATAGACACATTATGTACATACCTATTGTTATCATAATTTCCATATTTTTTCAAAGTTTTATGTTTAGAAGCAAATTCGAGGACAGTGAGTACACACTCTTCGAAATCGTGATAACAATCAATTGAAATAATTAATGTTGATAACAGAGCTTTGCAACTATTAATAAAATCATTAAATGCCTCATTAGAAATGTATAGACCATCCAATTTTAGATAATTCACCGAAGTAGGAAGGTATTCTCCTAATAATTGCAATGATCTAGTTGTATCCTCAGTGGATAAGCGGAATATTCCACCGAATGATACTTCAAGTTGTTGAATATTTGTTGAACCAATCCATGTAATTAGGCTATAATTGTAAACTGATACTTCTATATATAAAATATTAAGGTTTGGACAGTGGTTTAATGCTGCTTGAGTAGTTTCTGTGCAAACATTGTCCAGTACCATTTGTTGTAAAGTAACACCTGCCTTAGCAATAAGTGCAGCAGTAATAGAATTCGACCAAGAATTTCTCAACAGAGATAAAAACTTTAGACGGAATGATGCTGCAGACAGTATAGCACTATGCTCTTTCGTCATATTTCGACATTTCTGTAGACATAGAGACTCCAACGAATAGAAGCCAGCCAATGCAACAATTGAAACATCATTAAATTTAACCGATCGAAATGCCAACGAAGTTACACAATTTGCCTGTGATTCCATGACTGGGACCAAAAGTGGCCTAAATTGATAAAGATTTCCTTTCAAAATCATATTATTCTTAAAAGAAACTTCTTTGATACCTTTTTGTATTTTAATGATCTGGACAATTGCATCCAGAACGCCTGGGTCGGCTTTCTCGTGTATGTAAACTTTCATATGTGTGATTTTTTTACAAACTGATTTTAATCTCTGTAATAACTGTATGGTTTTTTGATATTTCTCAGAACTGTCACTCCAATCAATGCGACACGTGAAACTTCGCACATGGGACAAAGCAGACATTGCGTCTGAAAAATTTGGTACATTCGATATACCAGATCGAACATACAAAGGCATGATAGATACTGATTGTATTTTCACACATTGACGCATGAACATGCGCCAGAGTGCGTATGTAATAGCCTCAGCCCTGTGATCATACTCGACGAAAGGAAAGATAAGTTTCTTTACTTGAAACCACCCTTTTACACCTTTGTCTATGGCATTATCGGAAAGTTCTTGAAGATATTTTTCATAAGGAAACAATGTCGATTGGATGTCAAGAAAATCTATTTTGTAAGGGATCAAATATGCAAGTTCATCTTGGTTAAGGCATGAGACATAGGTCTGTATTATAAGAGTACGACTGGTGCGATGCTTATTTGTAAAAGGTTTGGAGGAAATTGTAAACGGCCGACACCACAAAATTGGAACCGTTATTCGACACCAAAGACGATTTACTAAAAGACATCGGTACAAGGTTCGCATATCATCATGGAGATGTGGTAAAATATCATAAATTATATCATCAGGTAATGGCATTTTCCTTTTTTCCAGATATAAAAAAAAAGCAAGTAAATTGGTAAGATTTTTACTCGACGCCGACTTTGTGTTATGCACAAGCTGCATGTCATATGATTACAAATATTAGTGCAAATAGCTAAGTACGTACGTACGTATGTACCAAAAAGATAAAACAGTAACACCAACATCTATAAATGCACTACAAATTCTCTAAATGCAATATAGTTTAGTTCAAACTTGACTCTATCGATCCTGCTTCCTATAAATGTATATTCTTACAGTCAAAACCATTAGTATCCCCACCTTTTTAACGTTTTAAATTAAAAAGCTATAGTTTTAAACCTTTTATTATAAATAGTACTTTATAAATATGGATCAATGAATTTTTTTTATAATTTTTTAATAAGGCCATACAAACTTAATAAATCGGTTCTCGTAACCCGGCCGGGTCAAATTTTACAAAACTTAAAAAAAATTTTTGTCTATTTACTATTCGGGTGAGTTATTCTAAAAAATTTTGTTTTTTATATATAAAATTTTTTGAAAATAAAATTAAAAGCCGGGTTGCCGGGTCACTTTCAAATATTTTATGTTATGAGAACCTATTTATTAAGTTTGTATGGCCTAATAACGAAAGTTAGATAAGAGCTAAAATTTGTTAAAATTTTTAATAATTTTTTTAGGAAATTGCTATTCATACCTCCCACTTTTGCTATTCGTACCCCCACCCCTGTAAAAAAAAAATTTTTTACTAATTGTTATAATGAGTGTCGCTAAAAGAAAACCCGAAAATTTAAATATAGTCATATTTAAATTTTCGGGTTTTCTTTTAGCGACACTCATATGATATAATTATAATACAAAACAATATATAACCTTCGTATGAATAATATATCTAGCCTTTTTTTTAATTAAAATTAAAGGCTTATTATAACTGCTCGATACGTAAGTATCGAGGCAGTGTTTGTCTCGAATCAACTCGGGTTCGGACATGTGACATGCCCCGATTACGGTCACATGTTCGATCGATTGTTCGATTTAAAGGTTAAGTATGAAGTAATTATCGCTTTCGGGCATTTGATAGTTTAAGCGTTTAGTATGACTATGAGGTAATTAGTTAGTAATCGATCAGTATAGTATAAATGGGTAACTTGGAGGTAATCGGTGAGTAATCGTTGAGTATATATTTGGGTCGATAAGGTATGTAGATAGCCTTGTTTCTTCTGCAAAACCCGTTATGAGTAAGTTTAATAAATCAGTTACCGTAGAGGATGAATCTAATAGTGATATTGAGTTAATGCATAAAAACGATGTTGAGACGGCCCAGAAGTCTGGCCAGACTAATTTTGAAGCAAATTTTGGCTGTATGTCAGTAGAGATGTTAAAGTTTTTATGTCATGAAATTGGTGTTTCTGATACAGGTTCAAAGCATGATTTAGTGAGCCGTTAGGTAATGAAAGTAGAAAGAGAAATGTTTTGTCAGATTTGGATATCTCTGTTAAAGGGAAAGTTGTTGACATTGATAGTGTTATGAAGGAGGTTTCTGGGAAAGGCAGTAAGCTTGGTTTTGAGTTGGAAAAAGCCTTTGCCAATGTTTTTAATAATGTTCTGGTGGATTCTGAGAATTTGGTAACAAATGGGATGTAATGTTTCATCTTCTCCGCGCATACCTTTTTTGGCAAATGATATGTTTTTGAATTGGAATTACAGAAAGGCTTATAGAGGAAGCGTGAGCTAACAAAAGCAAGGAATCAATAGGAATATAATGAGTGGTGCAAGGCGGGTTTGTTGTTGGATAAAGCTCTCTATACAGGTGATGCTAATTATGTTCAACTTGCTAGACAAGTGGTGCTGTGCTGGAAATGGCTTATGTGGTTAGGGTAGCTGATGAGAATGGATAGAATATGTTGAATCCAATGTCAGAGCTGTTTAGTGGAAAGAGCAAGAATGGTGGTGTAGCAGTTTTCAAGAAACAAACATTCTAAGGTGTCTTATGAGTGAAGTCATAACTCAAATAGTTAGCAGAAACCTGCTCAGGTTCAATTTTCAGGTATATGCCTTTGTTCTTTCAACCCCAACCATTAGTTTATTTGAATTGGTAATAATTATCTTTTTAGAGAATGTTTTAATGAATAATTATTGGGATGAAACACCTTTGTGTAATTTGTCTGGTTCTTCTTTTATGAGTCAGCAACCTTTTCATAATTCTTGGTCTTTGAATCTTTTGGTTAGCATATATAAGCAGCTTTTATTATATGACTTACCTGAAGCTTTATATAGAAATACAAGAATGTCTAATAGGTTAGCATTTTTTAAGCAAGTTGTATGTTATATACCTGTGTGAGTTAAAGAGCATTATGCTAATGAGTGTAAGTTAAGAAAGCATATGAGTTTTTTTTTACATGTCAAAAGCAATGGACCTAAAAGAAGCTAACTATACTCAGATAAATATAATGCTAAAGGTAAAGGATAGAAATGTGTTAAACAGGTTGCAATTTGTAATCAGACGACTATATATAGATTTAGTAGTTCATTATTAGAAGGAGATTATAAAACTGGATGTTCTATAGAATAGGTGAACAAACTCTGCAAACTTTACAACTTCACTATTAAAAATTAAAAATTATTAATTATTAATGAATCTTATTTCTTATTTTGCTTATTTATTCTATAGAATATCTATAAAACCAGCATCTGTGGTAGCAGAATAGTTAGAAAAGAGGATTCTGCTTTTTTCAAGAGGTGTAATAAAGCTGGTATTTTGCTAGTACCTATTCAATAGCAGTTTATAATAGAAGAAAAAGAATAAATAGATTAGAAATTGATCTATTTAGAAGCATCAAAATAGTAAAATTAGTTTTAAAAAACAAATCAAGGCTGAAGATTCTTTTAGAAGTAAGTTTTTTGTTTGTAGTTTTTAAACAAAGTTCCAAAAAATTCAGATTAATTATCAACCTCAAGTAATTAAACAGAACCTTATTCAAGAAGGCATTCAAGTTTAAAAAGTGAAAACTTTGTTAAAAACAATAGAAAAAAGTTGATAGATATTAATATTTGATTTAAAAGAAGAATATCACCACCTAATAATAGATGATTTGATATAGTATTTTTTGGAATTTGTGTTTGAAGAAAAGTAGCTTTCTACAAGGTGCTTTCTTTTAGATTAAGCCAGTCTTCTTGAATATTGTGAAAGTAATGAAGACAATAATTAGAAGTTGAAGAGTCTATAGTATTTTTAGTAAGAATTATTTTAATGATGTTTAGGTTGTTTACTTGGTAAGAGATATTTTGTTAAAACAGAGGAAGAAAGTGATAAAGGTAGATTTGGAAGGCTGTAAATAGATCTGAGCTATATAAAAAAGTAGTTAAAACTTTGTTTAGAAGTCTAAGTTTTGCAGCTTGATAATAAATATACTGAAAGAGTTAGTTGTTATACTAGAAAAAAATTAAAATATCAGTTTTTTTGCTAAAAACTTAGTTAGAAACTCTGATAGTTTTGGTTTGAAAGTTTGTTTTAGTTGCAAACAAAATTCAAAGTTTGGTAAAGACTTTCACTCCTATTTAAGTAAAGAGTCTGAAATTCTATCAATTAATAGATAACAAGAACTATTAGTTATATAAGTGAGATAAAGATTTAGTTTTGATAGAACAGGTAGTAAAGGATATGCTATAATTAATAGAAAACTTAGAAAGTTAAAATAGTTGTCTGGGTATAGTAACTTAGTGAAGTTGGTAAGTTGTCACACCTCCAAGCAACTTGTCAGCTAAGTAGGAGATTTGAAACCCACTGGTAATGAATTTTGAAAATTTTATTTATATGATGGTTATTATCTTTTATTGATCAGTTAGAACAAGATCTTTGTAACCTTGGTAGCACCAACTAGATTAGAAGATCATAGAACAATTGTATTATGTATGAGTTATACAAAGAAGTTCAATAATTGTATTAATCTGAGGAACTGAAAAGATGAATACCTGCATGGCAAGACCCAAAAAGAGAGGTAATACAGATTTTTAACAGTACTATGTAAAGGACTAGTATTGAGGAAACTGATAAATACTGAACGAGTTTGAAGTGTATGGCAAAGCACTTCACTAACCAGACCGCCAGAGTCAAAAGAAAAGGATTTGCTTAACCACAAAACACTAGGGACTGATAAACCTACAGGTGAAAGTCTCCTGAGCTATTTGAATTAGAAATTTGGAATACTGAATAACGAGTATTTAGAGAGACACTTCACCAACCTGGTTATCAGAACCGGAGGAAAAGGATCTGTTTAATTGCAAAATACTAGGGAACTAGTAAATCTGCAAACAAAAGTTCACTCCAAACTATCTGAATTGGTAGTTTAGGAATGTTAGAAGTATTGGTAATAGTTTGTAAAGTAGATACTGGGTTTGGCTAAACTTTACAAGAGTAGAAGTAGATAATGGTAGTGGCTTCGGCTCACAAATACTTGTTCTCAGACTTAGCATAAGTTACTGAAGTCTAGGTTAATCAGATTGTAGATTTGGGAAGCTTTAGCAAAGGCAGCCACTTGCTTACTTGTGAGAACCTATGGGTAACCAAAGGGGTAACCAAGTTCAGATAAAGATAGTAGGTAAAACTTTAATATAAAGGTGCTTAGCTTTAAATAGTTAGTGGATATATATAATTAGAAGGTTTAAACAGATAATTTTCAAGCAGATTACAGGTATAGCACCTAGTGTAGAATCTTTAGGTAGACTATTTAAATAGGCAATCTAAAGTTGCACATGTAGCTAGATAGTACTCTTGTTATAATACTAAAATATAAATCTATATAATTAACAATAAACATCAATAAAGCTTGGTCCCAAAAAGCACCTTATAAAAAAAAAAAAAAAAAAATAGTTGTTCAGTATAAAAGATATCCAAAGTAAAATTGGTATATGTAGATATATTTGTAGTTAGTTGATGCAGAGTTTATTAGAACTTAGTTACAAGTAGCAGTTGGGTAGAAAAACTTTTTGCAAATATAATTGTATAGCTCAAAGCTATAGCAGTTCTTTGAGTATTGCAATCATTAAAAAATTAGTTAAAAGAATTAATAATAATATTAATAATAGACAACAGAGTAGCTTTAGGAATAGTTCAGTATGAGAGATCAAGAAAATGATAAAAAGACATTGTTAGAAAAATTTAGAATATCTGTTTAGAGAAGAAAAATATTAATATTTTTCAAGTTTGTTAGATTTCAAACAAGTACTATCTAGTTAACAATTTTATGCAAATGTTAAATATAGAAGATTGGAGCAGAGGTCTTTTTCGAATAGCTATTTTATCTTACTAAAGTGCATCAGAAGTATGTTAAATATATATAGATTTATATAAGGAGGGCTTGGCTTTTCTCTGTATTAGAATTTAAAATAGAATTTCTATTTATAATATATAATTGAAAATTTTATTTTGTACTTATAATACAGGAAGAAGTTCTCTTTATATGAATCTGTATTATATTTGATACATTTCTGATACACTTTTGATATACTAAACAAGGTAGAGCAGCTGTTAAAAATTAAAAAAGACTTCTGCTAAAAATTGGTATTTAAAAATAGATATAGTAGAGCAGTTGAAAAGTTATTATTAAAAGTTTAATATTAACAGATTTTTTTTTTTTTTTTTTGATATTAAGGTGAGGCTTTGCTTGTATCTTTATTAAGTAATTTTTAA